TTTGTTTCACCTTATGTATTCTTTTTGCATAAATTTCACTTTGTTGTCAATTTTACGGACGCGGCGGTAGCATTCAGCAACTATCCAAGTCTGATAAATGTACTTTTTTTCAAAATCTAAAAAATAAAAAAACGCAGATCTGCATTTAAAAAAATAAATTTGATGATGGTCCCAGAAAAACCGAAACAATTATGCTATTTTGTAGGGGAGAAAAAGTTGCAATGTGACAGTGTCGTTTGTTTGCAAAAATTTTTTCAAATAAAATCTCAAAAGGATGCAAAAGAATTTTTAGCGCAGTTTCTAACACATGCTCACAGATGGGTATTTTATCTGTGCACATGTTGGAAGGCGGTATTATAGCCACTTTTTCCGTCCGTCCGTTCGCGGTGTTAATAACGCCGTTGCTTTGAACCATTCTTGATAACACGACTTCGTGTGAACAGTCGGTGGAAACCGTTGTTAATAAAGCCGATGTTGTTAAAACCTGTGTTATTTGTCATTATTGTAAAACATTCTGATCGTAACTAATCAAAATGTATGTTGTGTAGCTTATTTATCATAGTTTCTTGTACAGAAAATGGCAATCACGCTCCACGCGTTCTACACAAAAAAAGCACAGACCCGAGTATGCATTAACAAAAAATATTTTTGGAAAATTATTGACATTTATAGCGATTTAATAAGCGATGTATCGATCACGACTCAAAAATGTTATAGTACGAAAAAGGCAATTATGTTTAATCATTCTTTTAAAGAACAATCGGTTATTATTACCTACATCCTAAGAAAAAGGGCCACACACGTAAAACTGGAAAATTTCCTCCTACTTCCAAAACCCGTATTATTGCCAGTATATATTTTTAGAATTAAAAATGAAGTAATTAGAACGTACGATTTTATAGCTGGCGTCAATCTCGTCTGGCGAAATTCCGCGTTTCGCTTTCTGTTGAATTGGGTGCTAAATGGCGACGTTTATTTTTTTCAAAAATAACTCGTTGCCAGCAGCGGAAAAATCGGAGTTACGGTGTTACTCATAATTACACTTAAATTGTTTGTTAATTAAATGTACAATAACAGTAAATGAGTAAAATTCAATTAAATTGAAGTCTGTGAACAATAAATTGCAATTAGTTTAATCGGATTTAACGACAGTCGACTTGTTTTCGATTGCATAATGCAGAAGCGTGACCAATAAACGCAAAGTCAAGGAATCTACTAACAAATGTATTTGAAAATGCGTAAATTTCATACCGATTTTGACGATTATAAAATTAATTAATAGTTCACGATCAGATTATCCACTCACTCAGATCTGACCTGAAGTGAGAGTCCTGGCCATTTTTTTTGCTTCTCAAGCGATTTACATAATTCATCCGAAATCAAAGAGATTCAATAATTATTGCTCTAAACGGCCAATTTGAGGAGTTACCTTACCAAATTAAAGAAAGGCCGATTTTATAATGCCCCCAAGACCAATCATCACGATGGTCTGATATGAGTAGGTAGTCTAATATGCTTAAATCCTCAAGAACACCAACGAAGAGATTATCCAGGATTCTAGCAAACAGCCATTAACTTTATTCGTCTTATAAATAAAGCATAATTTCCGAATTTTATATCAAAAATAATAAACTGCGTTAATTTTTCTGGGCGTCAAAATGTGACGTTAAGTATACGTTTACAAATCTTTAAGCATGACAAATTCATATATTTTAAAAACATGCATTGCCTACAGGTTAACTTGAATCACGCAATGGATTTTAAGGTTAAATACAGGTATTATCTAATAGACGCTTCGAAATATCGGCTATTAGGTGTACTAGCGATTATTATCATTACAAAGGATCAAACTACTCTATTAGGCACCACAAATTTTAGCTCTCAAATAGAAGCACACTTTTAATAATTACACGAAACCGACAAAGTCTCTTTTTCTGGCGTTTCACCCAAAGGTTAATTGCGGGTCATGTGTAGCAACAAAAAAATCTATTTGGATATTCAAAGGATGTTCCTCCTTGTGATTCCTACACGTTACATGCGATTACTTCATTCTTTAAAAAACTCTTGATGGCTTCACTCTGACATTGCGAATGTGTTAAAATCGTTTCATTAAACACTCAAACATTATATAACCAATCCTTGAAACTAAGGAAGTTGCACCTTAAATAATTTAAGATAATTTATTAGCGGCAATGGAAAATGCGTAATTAGTATTTTAAATAGTAACAAATATTTACCAATTTTACTACTTAATAACTTAATGCAAGTAGCTGGAAATTAAAAACATCGTCGTGTTGGCGACGAGTATATTTTTAGTGATTTGAAATTGGAATAAACATTTTATAACTCCGGACACGAGTTTTTGATTAATGTGACCGTGGCCTCTCCTTCACCGAATTTTGCAATTTGATTCGAATTAAAGTTTTGGACGTTCCAATTTAACTGGAAAGGTTGGTAATTTTCTAATTCAGCTATCTCTAATCGTTTGGCCGTTAGGGGGCGATTCTCGAATTTTGTCGATTTTCTTAACCCCCCCCCCCCTAACTTTCTAATTATTAAAGACTTTTTTATATAGAATCAATTGCGATACACCGTTTTTATACAGGGTGTTTGGTTTTTTTATACGACCGTAAACTATATTTTGTCATATGGGCCACCCTATATATTTTGGAGTTTTTGAAAAGAGTAAAATTTCCTAAACTTTGATGTACACTTGGTCCTACCTTCGATAAATAAAACGGAGTGAGATTCCGGCGTATTATGCGAACGTCGATAGGTGGACTAGAAAGTCTGGAGAAAAACCCCTGCATAATGGCAAAATATCCATCTTTCCCGAAGGTCCTTGTATTTTGGCGTTTGTTTCGTCCAGTAAATCCCCCTCGTAATTAGGCGGTAAAAAAGAAGTCATTAAAAGTTGTACTATATGCTCCCTCTAATTCGCTTTCGCGCCGTTAACGTTATACCAAATAATAATAATAATAATAATAATATTTAATTGCGTTCTCTGACATAATTACATGTATGGAACTGTCAATAATGGAATATGAAGCCATGAGACAAACAGTTAACTACTACAATTAAAATTTACAAATCACAGATTACAAATTAAAAGTGTCGCTATGCTTAATTTCTAATATCACATTAAATTTGAGAATATATGTTGTCATGGGTACTCAGGTATTCATCTATAGAGTAGAAGCATTGTTTCTTTAAGTAATATTTGACATCGCATTTAAAATGTTTCAGATTTGTTATTGATTTTAAATGTTTAGGCAAGTTGTTGTACAGTTTAATGCATGTGATGAACGGACTTCTCCCCATTTGCGTAGTTCTATGTGAAGGTATAAACAAGTTGTTGGCTGATCTTGTTGGGTAATTGCAGATTTCCCGCACCTATTAAAGTTGTGTATGTTTTTCTTAACATATGTAACACATTCCAGAATGTAAATGCAACAGAGGGTCATTATGCTATATTGTTTAAAATATGGCCTGCACGAAGATCGATGAGGTAAGTTTAACATATTTCTCAGAATGCGTTTTTGATGAATGAATATTTTTGTTACATCACGTGCGTTTCCCCAGCATACTATTCCGTACGTTAAAAGGGAATGTATACAACCATAATAAAAACAGATTAAGGTTTCAAAATGGACTATATTTTTTAGCTGAGTAATACAGTAATTTCTAGATGCCAGTCGCTTTGATAATTCACAAATACTCGGGTTTCCCTCAAATAAGTCAAATGCGGTTTCAATATAGTCGAGTCCTATCCACAAACGAGATTCATCCACGCTATCTCCCGAAAATTTAATTCCCCACTTATGTACCGGGGTTCGATGTACTGGAAGTTGAGTTCGGCTCACTGGAGCAGTAGGCTGAGTTAGAGTGAAAGTCACTACAGGTGCGAGATTTTCAGTAGCTTGTGTAGTAGTTTAGTGAATGTCTAAGTTGACATAAGGTCAGTTCCTGCAATTTAGACTCTTCAGCAGCTGTGAACTTTAACAAAGTCTTAGTTCGAGGTAATCCTCGAGCAGTATGTGTAAGCAGGGATAGGTACCACCTTCCACGGCATCCTTAAAAGAATCGCACAACAAAACTGTTACAAAATCACATCCCGTCGAACACAAAAAATTAACATACCTCCAATTAATGCGCGTTGTTTAGAAAATAGTGTTATTACGGCCACGATTGACTTGGTTCAAACTCTATATCTCGAAAAGAATGCATGAGATAGTAATAGATTAAGCAAATGGCGGTCCCTACGTACTTAATAAATCCAATCTAAAGCCTCCGAATGAGAAAAAAAAGTGTAGAAACTATGTCCAAAACCAGTACGAGAGTACCACAAACAATATGCTAAATCGGCAGAATATGATTACACTTAAAAATTTGTTATAAACAGACATGGAATTTATTAATTACACCGCTTAAGTTTTCTGCCACCGTACTTGTAAAGAAGAATGGTCAATCGGAAAAAGTAAGCTAACGGGCGCATCCAACGGCTGAAATGAAAGGACCAATGACCATTCGTCACGCACGTCATGCAGTGAACCCCAAACAAAAATTACAGTGATAATCGACCACTAATAATTTATTTGTACTTGCAAAAATAAAACTGTTACAATTTTTAACAAAGAATCGTATTAGATAATTTCTTCTCTTTTACCGAATTTTACTTCCTTTCTTGTCTTATAATTAGAAACTCTCTTATAGAGCTTTTATAAAACTCAGGATTATTTCCTTAGTCCTTAGACTGCCTCAGGAGTATTTTTAGAAATATTCTTTGAGCCTCAGGAGTCTTGGTCGAAATCTATCCCATTTAAAAACAAAGGAAAAATAAGATACAATCTTACCTACACGACTATTTAGCGCCTAAGATGGACCGTTTATTCCAGTGTTACTTTGTAGTGGACCGTAATGAGTTTTTTTGATCGAGTAATTTTTATTATAATCGTATTATTTCGGTGTGTTAGCGATAAAACAGTATTTTTTTCTTGCAGTCGGTTCTGCCCACCTACGAAGAAGCGGTAAGGGATCGAGGACCGGGGGTAGTTTCAAGTCGCTTTACGCGACCCCATTGGCCATCGTTAGCGCATAGAAGGAATAGAAACTCTCCAGATATTGTGCACGTTACCAGACAGGGATCATTGTAAGTACCTGCCTCTTTAATTTTTATCCTAAAAGTGAACGTAAGTATAATTTTATTGCTCTCCGTGACACATACGTGTGGGTATGTTTTATATTTATTCCTATGGAACAGCTATTTAGCCGTAATAAAGACAACAGATTTTTAATACTTCATTATATTTTATGTCGATATTTAGAATGAAGTTATATAAATGACAAACAAAAAAAAGTGTGTTATATTCAAGTTATCTGGAAAATTTAGTGCCACTTTTGCGTAAATTATCAGTAATCATGAAATATTTATATTTACATTTATGTTGTATGTAAAATCTATATTCTAAGTGGTGTTCCGCAGGGTTCTCTTTACGGCAACGATTGCTGTAATTGTCGTATTAATTAACATAGAACATGGCCTGCGTGCTAATTCGCGATATCATAATTTCATATATTCTGTTCGTAAATTATCATTGACTATCTTGACTATCTTATTCGATAAATACTAACACGAATTAGTTTTTATCATATCCCTATATAGAAATCGATTACGGTATAATTAAGTAAATCATGTTTTCATATCTTAGTTATACCACAGACAACATATACTACAGACGGTCAATCTTAAGGGGAAAAAGCACGCTAAGTTTTGTTTCAAATGTCCCCTTATTTAAAAGCCTGCTATCCCTCTATTTTGCTCCATCTATTAGCGCATACAACAATGTGTTGGTTCTTCTACAGATTTCTTTTATTGGAATGGTTTTGCAAATTGTCTAGAGAAAGAAGTATTGATACTTTATTATTAGAAAGCTGTCCCACTCTCGCAAGAAATCCCCATATTTACATCTGGGCGAAGTGCTGATAATCTTTGCAGGTACACATCACATACAAAGCAAATATCACTTTATATTCGCAATTACGTATTACTCGTTGTCTTTGGGTGCATAAGAAACGATATATCTAACTTGCACCACTTTTCGAATTCTCGAAAAAAAGTGTAATCTCCGTGTTTGTTTATATACCTACGTTACGTACTCTACTTGCCTACTTGTCTCTCCCTTTGTGGAATAAATCTTGCAATCAGCAATTTAACTTCATTTAACTTGGATAAAGAAAACCTAAACGTAAGCAAATTTTCGAATGATTATTTGTATCATATGTAATAAATCCCATTTAAGGTGTGCAATTATAGGTCAATTACAGCGGTAATTGCATTGTAGAAAACGAAAGAGCCCTGCGATAATTGCACATTTCATGGGAATACACTTTAACAATTTTATAAGTAGGTAAGGTGAGTTTGTAATGTTTATTCGGGAAATATTCCCCCGAATTACACTCGTGCATCAAAATAAACCTGATAATTTTTAGCGCATTTTCCAACGAAGTTGGGTGCGCTATTGCAGCCACTTTCTCTGTCCGTCCGTCTGTCCGTCTGTCCGAGGCCTTAACTACTTCTACAGTTTTCAAGATATTTAGTTCGTTCTTTTTGCATTCGGTAGCGTATCGCTCTGGCACCTGAGTCAAAGAAAATCTTGACGATTGAACTGCGCATGCGCAGGCTGCGCAATGTTGACTTTTTTATTTATTAATATATTTTGTTGAAATTTTAATCACAGATACTTGTAGTAAAGGCAAATATATCGCATACAGTAAAAATCAGATGTGCGCATGCGCAGAATGCGCAATGCAAACTTTCTTATTTATGGAGATATTTCTTTGAAATTTTAACCAAAGATACTTATAGTAAAAGCAAACGTATTGCAAATTGTAAATATGAGATTAATAAGCGCATGCGCAGGACGCGCAATATCAACTGCGCAGTAAGTGTCAACTTCCTTATTTATGAAAATATTTTTTTTAAAATTTTAACCATATATGCGTCTAGTAATGAAAAACGTAGCGCACATAGGTATGGCCTTTGGAGAAGTATTGATCAATTTATGGAAAATGCGCTGAAGTTACACTTCATACTTTGTTAAAAGAGCATTTTGATGCGCTTGTGCAATTACCTACGAAAATTGTCACAAAGCAAAGTTTTAATAGCGATCCTCGAGATGGTTTATAGTTTTGTATCTATTACTGTCTGCCGGTTTAGTGTGTTGTCACTTCACTCAACCAAACCATGTATTGTATGCAAAAAAATCCCCTGAATCCGTAAATGACAGTCTAGCTAACCGGAAACTCCGGGAACATATTGCTATACACAAGAAAACGAAGAAAATATGGGAAAATATCGTTTTTTCGCATTTGACTTAATTAGGTATCTCGTATTCTCGTTAACTATTCCTCTTACGGAAAAAATGAAGAGAACGATTTGCTTAGAATCGATTTTTCTATCAGATACAGTTGGTATGATTTTTTATTAAACAGCGTGCCAAGGGCCTATTATAAAGTTACTTTCTTGTTCTGTTTCTGGGGTTTCCACTAAACAGGCCACTAAACTAATTCCACAGTCCGTCGATTTGCAAAACTCATCGGGACAACAGACAATTGTTGGAATAGGTTGTTTTACGGTTCCACCATCCATAAAAATATTGAAAACGCTCCGGGAGTCATCCAGTTTGAAGGACAAACCATTGAGAAGGGCGTATCAACAAAAACAAATGGTAATTTTTGGGATTACTTTTTTTGTATTTTTCCAGAAAAAACAATAACATTTAAAAATGAACGGTTCTGTACCAACTGAAAATTCGATTCTAAACAAATTCATTTCTATGAGCTCGAGCAATAGTTGACGAGACAATTGGAAGTCAAATGCGAAAAAAACTGCATTTTTCCATTTTTTCTTGGTTTTTTTTTGTATAGCAATATGTTCCGGGAGCTTCCGGGCAGGGAACTACATAAAATACACTTGGTTTCGTTGTGTGAAATGCCAACATCCAGTTTAGAATACTTTTGGAGCTAATTTGACTGGACAGCGACGTCGGAAGTACGGGTCAGAGGGGGCGAGTGGCCCCCTCAGTTTTTACACAAGGTGGGGCCGCGTCCCCTCTAAGAAAGAGTAGATAAATCACTAAAAAGCGACTAACACATCTTCTACTGCATGTGCATGCAGAAATTACAAAAAGTGTAGAAGTAGAGGATATATTGAAAGAATTTGCCAGGAAACCACGGAAAGGCGGAAAATTTTTGGATATATTTAATTTTTTATACTTGCTTTTCTTTACGATGCTCAATAGTGCAATAAACAGGGACAAAATTTTTGTAACTTTTGTATGTTCTAGTTCTTCATTATTTTTTAAATAAAATATTAATGATCTATGGCTACGGTTTTCTCAATCGAGTCAAGTATCTCTGAGTTGCTCAGTTGCATGTAACTAGACATCCTCCGACACTTTTTTAAATTTTTTTCAAAACTTCTTTCAAAAATACATTATTTGATTGATTAAATAAACAGGTTTCAGGGTCACTTAAAAAACCCACTGCTTTGCATTAATTCGTACACAATTTTGCATGGGAAGGACCTTTCAGACTCAATGGTCGCTGATTTTTGCCCCCCCCCCCAACCGTTATTCACTTCCGACGTCGCTGTGACTGGACTATGTTGACCCTACACATTGACATAAAATAAAGTTCGTTAAGTGCTCTCTCCCCTAATCAAAAAATGTTGTGATGGTATTATCACAGATACATATAGGTAGGCAAGGCCGTGCGAGGGGGAGGGGCGAGGAGCGCCAGGCTCTGGACGCCAAGTCGGTAATTCCATGGAGTTAGGAAATCAAACAAAAGCGCCTGCATTTTGATCTCAAATTGCCATGGCACCACTGATTTTCTTAAAAGCGCCAGTTTTTAATTATCCAATTTCTTGGATTTAAAGTTCAGAAAATTAAAAGCTATAGTATGCATGGATTCGTAATTTTTTTCTCTACAAAAAACCTAAATAGACTTTCTCTCTAAAATAATTAGAGAAGTCAATAATCAGAAATGAAAAAATTACTATTGCAATTCCTATGGTGCGTTGTTCAAGTCACCACCCGGTATAATAATATATTTATTATGGAAAAACAAAAATTATGTTTATTATTCTAATAAAATCTTTCCTTGTCCAACCTCATAATTTTATATGTGGAGGCCAAATTTAGTTTCCGCCCTTGTATAATAACCAAACCCGCTCCATCAATTTTTTAAATGTTTAGAAAAGAGAAAAATGAAGAATTAAAATGTATCCTATTTCATGTAATTTATGATGTTATACAAGTGAGCGCTTATCTTATCTACGTAAAAGCCGGCGTCGAAGCCGAGGAAATAAGGTTTGAGTATATGTATTTTATTTTTACAAAAATGACTCCATCTATTACACACGTTTACCACACACAACAGTTTTCTGTGCGTCTACCACATTTTACAACAATTTATTTCGACTGCTTCAAGGTAGACAACACACTAGTCGTACTCTATTACGTGTTGCGTTTATTTCTATAGCATTGCATTGACCGTCTGTAGTATATGTTGTCTGTGGTTATACTGGAAGACTGCATATTGAAAGTACTTGTCGCTAATTTAACACTCCGTAAGTACCAATTATATATTTAGCAATCTAAATATGATATGGCTGCCATTGCTGCAAGCTAATGAAGCGTTTGTTTTGTGCTCCAAAGTGATAAACTTCATTGAAGATACGGTCTCATCGGTTACCATGGACATTCTATAATTGTTTTACGAATTGCTATTAGGCCGCAGTCGAATTATATCCAATGTTTTGCGTTTACCATTTTTTTTGAGTATATATTGGACGACCAGGTCTTAAATTGAAATCATTTCCTTCGTTGGAAACCCACTATGAAGATCTGGTCAATTGACATATAGCCTAATAGAGCAGTGATTGATCTTAAATTTTTACAAATCGTTAATAATGTATTTATGATCATCGGTTATCGCAAATTGCATAGCATGTGATCTTAACATGACAATTAAAAAAACATAGTATTGTGTAAACTAGATCATGCGGACGTTTTATTTTGTCTTGTCTTGGCACCTACAATAACGATGGGTCATCCTGTGTATGCTGAAGAGAGAGGTTCAGCGTTC